TATGCCCATAATCCCAGCACTCAAGGCCATCCTTGGCTACATGTTGGATGCCAGCCTTGCTAGCTGTAACAAACCTGCATCGTGGTGTTTTCCTTTTAAATCTGGGTGTTTGGGGCCTGGGGAGATAGCTCAATGGGTAGAGTGCTTGCTATAAGCAGATCACCAGCACAGGGAAGTGGAAAGACCAGAGTCCTGGAGTTCACAGGGCAGCCAGTCTTACCAAATTGGTCAGTTTCAGATGCAGTGAAGAAATCTGTCATGGAGGTGACTCAGTAGATAAAGGCACCTGCCACCTGACCAACTGTGCTCCGTCGCCCAGACCCATAGGGTTGAAGGAGAGAATTGAATACTACCCATTGTCCTCTGGCCTCCACATGGGTGTCACAGCATGTGAACAGGCACTCACACACACACATGCACACTCGTGCATATGCATAAATAAATGTATTCTTTAAAAAAAAAAAAAGAGTTGGGCATGGTGGGGTGAGTTCAGACCAGCCAGAGCTACACAGTGAGACCTTGTCTCCAAGAACCAAAACATAAATAAATAGTTAAATTTTAAAATATTTTTATTGTTTGTGTGTAATATGCATGTCTAGAGGCTGGAGGGAAATGTTGATACAAGTGTCTTCCTCAGCACTTATGTACTTTTTTTTTTGGAGGGTGGTATTGAGACAGGGTTTCTCTGCATAGCCCTGGTTGTTCTGGAACTCCCTCTGTAGACCAGGCTGGCCTTGAACTCACAGAGATCTGCCTGCCTCTGCCCTGCTAGTGCTAGGATTAAAAGGCTTGCACACCCCATTACATATACATGATTAAAAAAAAACTTGGTGTTTCTAGGGCCAATGAGATGGCTCAGCCAAGCCTGACAGCCTGAATCCTATCCAAGACCCACATGGTAGGAGGAGGAAACGAACTTCTGCAAGCTGTCCTCTGACCTCCAAAGGGTCACTGAGGCACAAATACGCATACAGGCATGCACACACACAATAAATAAGTGTAATATGATAAGACCTGAGTGTTCCTAAAGCTGGCTTGCCTGCGTTGCTGCAATCAACAGCAGTTACTGTCCACACTTTCTGCATCCAGAGCCATGGCTCCGTGTTGGGAAAGCCTGGGGTCTCAGCTTCTCTCTGCAAGTTGCCTTCCAGGCTGCAGCCATTGCTTAAGTCTGTGCTGCAATCCAGAGAGAGCAGGAGTGGGAAGTCCAGAGCTCTCCCTGCTTCTGGGAACAGCCCCCATCCCCCTCCAGCAGAGCTTCCACAGGCCGTCCTCATGAGAGTGGGTCAGGCTCACCCAAGGATTTCACAAACGCCTGGCCCATTCCCAGCACAGCACAGCTGGGAGGGCTCAGTGCTAAGGAGTGTCCTCCACCACAGCCCCTGCTGTCCTTGGGCTCAGGGCCTCTGGGTCTGGAGCCTGGGGACCGAAAAGGGCTGTGCCTGTCCAGGCTTGCCACAGCTGTGGTGAGCTAGAGGCCTTCCCTCCCCACCTCACTTTCCAGCCTGAGCTTAGTCAAGGTGCTAGGAGGAAATTCCCTTTCCAGGAAGAACGGAAACACAGGCTTGCCTTCCCCAAAGTGAGCAGCAGGTGGGTCCCCCAGGAGGGCCTGGGATGCTCAGATCTCCCTTCTGTACGTGATTCACAAGACCTGCGGTTGGAGTCCAGGAATCAAGCAATTTTTTTTCTACACTCCCTGGGGACCAGTTTTGGTTCTCTTTGCCTTCAGGAGGTCTGGGCAGCATTGGGAGACTCTAAGTAGATTGAAAGGGGGTTCGGACAGTCTCATTGACTCTACCTCCTTCCATAATCCTGGAAGGATTGTCCTTGGATTTGGGGCCAGAGTTTCCCTATGAGAACACATGGATATGTTCTGGCTGAAGAGTCAGTGCCTTTGTCCCTTTGTCAGGCTTTGGGGGTTAACCAAGTCAGTGGCTTTCCATGGCAAAGTTGTGGGTATGTGGTGAGCATCCTTATTTATTCCGTTTACATGCTTACGAGTTTATGGCTTTCTCTCACTCAGACTTAACTCCTGGGAAGCAACGGGGAGCCAAACCCCAGCAGGCCTCATCTTGCTGAACCCCAACTCCCCCGGACCTAGAGCATTCCCTGAAACACAGGATGTATTGGGCCGATATTTGCTGAGTGGAAGAATGAGTGAGCGTGTGGCCAAGGGAGGGAGCAGAGGGGCTCCCTGATCGGACGGGAAGGCAGGCAGGCTTTGCTCCACTAGCCTGGAAGGTGTTCTCGGCTCCTGTGGGGCCAGAAATCATGAACCACGCTTGGCCGGGAGGGAAGTCAGGGCTTTCTGTGTTGCCTCCCGGGGGTCACTGACCCTTGTGACCAATGACGGGCTTGCCCCCCCTCGCCGCCCCACCCAGGGAGGTGCGCCGGGCCGCCTCCCGGCCGAGTTTCCTGGCACCGGGCTGAGAATAAACAGCGCTCTGCGCCTGCAATCCTGTTGCCATGGCGACGGCGCTGCGCGGGAGGGGGCGTGTCGGAGGCGTGGCCTCGTGGAGTGGGCGTGTTGGGAGCGGGGCCCGAAGGGACCGCCCTCCCTGCGCTCAGCGCGGACATTCTTCGCATAGCTGCTCCTGGGCTCCCGCGGTGGCCGGGAAATGACTCTTCCTGGCAGAGGGCGGCTCGAAGCGCAGAGCCCGAAACCGGAGGAGGACGGGCGGGGCGCATGAAGGGGCTCTGAGGGGGCACTGTCCACCCTGGACCTCGGTGGGCACACCTCACGTCCCCGATTACCCAGCCAGGGTTCTAGTCCTTCAGCCCGCTGTGTCTCTGCTCTGGCTGCCTGGCTTCCCACTCAGTACCCCTGCAGTACCCCCTTCCTGCCTGACATCTTTACTAGTTCTGTACGCTAGGACACTTCATGAGGGCTCATTTTCCATCGCCAGCTCCCTGTCCGTGGCCTCCCTCCTTCCCTCCCTCCTTCCCCACAAGCAGACCTTGGATTTCCCATTCCTGGCTCAAGTCTTCAGGAGGCCAGCTCAAAACAGCACCAGCGGGGAGAATGGGGCCTCTCGGGTGGATTCTTGCAGTCCTAGAAGCAGGGCAAAAGAGAACAGAGGTAGAGAGCAGCCCCCGTTGTCTCATGGAATTGCCCCACTCCCTGCAAGCTCATTATGGAGCATTTTGGAGCCAGGAGCACCCCTCCTCTGGCAACCAGGACCCAGGTCCCCCACTAGGTGTTTTGGAGAAGGACAGTTTTACCCCGAGAGGACTGAGACACAGAAGGGCTGTGTAACAGTGACAGGAGGAAGAGGGAAGAGGAGAAAGAGGCCCTGGCCAGGGAGCGATAGAGAGTTACTCTGGCCACCAGCTCACTGTGTGAATGTAAGTTGTTCTGTTCCTCCTTTTCCTGGTGTGTACCAGTTCCCAGGCTGCACACACCTGAGCAGGAGATACTGAAGGCTAGGGGTGGGCAATCAACTGCAGGCTCGGAAAACAAACCCCTTCTTCTTTGTTCCGAGTCTCCCCCAAACCAAACTGAGCCTCCAAGAGGCAGGCAGGAGATAGAACCCAAGTCCTATAACATGGTACCATGGCTAAACAGCTACCACCTAGGTCAAGGACAGGGGCCAACTGCATGGCCTGGTTTCCTGGAGGCTGTAATTTCCACAAAAGTGACCCTCTGAAGCAAGTGGCAGATGGGTGCCATTGGGCAGGCTTCAGGACAAGAAAGGTTTTGAGAACTGGGGACTCTGGGAGAGATGTGACCCTGCCTCAGTCTGCAGTCCTGATTCCAAAGTTGACAGTGCCTCCAGTGTGGGTCTGGCATGTTGTCGACATTGGTCTCGTGCCTGGTCCAGCCCCTTATCTCTTTAGATCATTTCCCCCCAAGGCCAGGAAAGGAACTGGCCTTGTTTATTCTTCCAGTCGCCTTTTAAACACTGGACTCTTGCAGCAGCTGTTCATCAGGTGCTGTGGGATCAAAGAAAGCTCTGACATCTTTCAGACACTTGAGTATCAGACCGGGAGACTAAGGAGCCCCCAAGGTGGGGGCCACACTCTTCACAGAGCTCTTCAGGTGTGGGAAGCAGAAGGAAAAATATCAAATAACCTGCGTTTGTTTTCTTAGCAGAAACTTATTGCAAAGCGTGTGTGTGTGTGTGTGTGTGTGTGTGTGTGTGTGTGTGTGTGTCAGAGAGAGAGAGAGAGAGGAGAGAGAGAGAGATGAAGTGCTTGGCTTGTTAGGAGACGATGTGGGGAATCAGACACCCCTCAGCACCCATCCTTTGTTGTTCCCACATTCCTGGGTGCTGTGTCCTAGGCAGGTTGCTTCATTTCCCTGAACCCATGTCTGTCCTGAACTCAATGGATAAATATTTACGCTTCATCTCTCTAGGCACCAGAAATGACGAATTCAAGTTGTGCTGAGTTCTGCTCACATAGAAGCACAGCTGTATCTCATGTGGGTGCCTGAGAGTCAGCCCCTTTAGTGCCCAGAGGTAGGAGCCTGGCTGGTGGTCCATGGCCCGTGTAGGATCTTTAAGAATACAGGTGAGTGTATGGAGGAGCTATTGATACCTGCCGCACCTGCTTTCCAGTCCCCTTACACGCTGTAACATCTGTCATGCTGTGCTGAGGTCACAAGTCATCATCAGGTCGGACCCCCATCTAGGCTTTCTCGGAACACCTCCCTGCCAAGCAGCCCCAGCCAAAGTGAGCGCTAATAGCTTGGAGCCTCTAACAGCTTTTGACCACAGTGCAGCCTGCTCCCTGCAAGCCCTTTGAAGCCAGCACTTCCTTCGCAAACTTGCTTTGCATATTCTGGTCAGAGCTGAATCAGACTGGCAGGAATTAACCATCAGTAACAGTCTAGGTGGCTGCCATAGCTTGCTGGTGACACAGGAGGGCTGCCGGTGACGCGAGAGCAGTCTGATCCTACCTCAGAGCTGTGGGCAAGGGCCCCAAGAGGCACAGCCAGCCCCCCCCCCCCATTCCATTGTGAGAGGAAGGGAAGTCAGGGAAAGAAAGCTCAAAGTCAATTTTCTTTTTCATTAAAAAATAGTGCTCTTTATTATAAATTACCGAAATGTTTCTTTTCTGAGTATAAATATAAATATATGTGCAAAGTCTGAGTTGAACTGGGATTTGGTTTTGAGTTTTTTTCAAGCATCTTCAAACAGCCTCAAAGGCCTGAATGGGGAAAGGGGAGGGCTGGAGGTGATCTTTATAAAAGTGATTGAGGCAAATTGTAAACATTATTCAAAACAACACAGAGAGAAAAAAGCCACCCCAACACACAGCTGCCCCATCCAGCCCCATCCCTGACTCAAAACTTTTGTTGTTTTTCCCCAAAACAAGACCAGTTCCAGGTAATTCCATGGCTGCTGCATTCCTGTGAGTGGCCACTGTGGAATGGCAGATAGATGAATGTTTCTCCATCACCTCCTGCCTCGCCCTCCCCCCCAACCCCGGGTGAGGAGGGGGAGCTATGCAGGCCTGGGGGGCCCTGGGACCTGCTGATTCCCGCTGACCAAGAAGTGCCTAAGACTGGCCAATTTCTTCCCAGTGATCACTCAGGAGTCTCCTGCATGTCAGGGTCTCCTCCCTGCACCCACTTCCCCTGCCCTTCAGCCACTGGGTGAATCCCCCGGCTCTTCTGCCTCTTGGCTGTGTTTGGCTCCTCATGTGCCAATCCCTATCCATGGGACAGAGGGCATTTAAGGCAAGTCTCCTAGCCTGACATAGGAGAAACAAAAGAGTCCCCCATCTTCTCTAAGGAAACCTGGGCTCCAAGATGGCTCATCTGTTCACCTGTCTCCCTCCGGTGTTGGGAAAGGTGGCCAACTGACCAGCCCTATCCGTCTCCCTCCCGCATGCCACTGTGAGGGAGCCTTAACAACGGGGAGGGCTCTGGGAGGTCTCATTAGCTGCCCCAAGGGAGGAGCCTGGCACCAGAATGGCTCTCTTCGGGTCACCCCTTGCCTCTCTCTCCCTAGAGCCAGGAGCCACCACTCCTCACCTAGGCTGGGCAGTGGGAGTGGTCGTTTCTTTGGCCAGCCTGCCGCCCTTGGCCCCCAGGCCTGGCGCCTGCTCGGGATTTAAACCAAATCAAAGCGCAAACAAGTTCCGTGGGAAAGTTTGAAGATCCCCCTGCAGTTCTCATTAGTTCAACACACTCGAGGTGTCCTCCCTCCCTCCCTCCGCTCCCTTGGGAAGCAGAGGGGTGTGGAGGAAGGGAAGAAGAGAGGAGAGTCCACTTGTCAATGCTATTGTCCCACCAGGCCAGCTGGCTCCTCTTGAGAGAGAAGCTGGAGCTGGGGCAGGGAAAGCAGGTGGCAACTCCCCTCCCCTCAGACACATTCCAGGTCCCACCTGACTCACTTCGCCAAGCCGAGGGGCCCGAGGAAGAAGCCTACCTGCCCCTGGCTCACTGGGAGCTACCGACCATTGGGGCTGGATTTTTGTGCTTGTGCTATGTGCCGCGGAGGAGAGGCGACCGACCCAGGCCCCCCCTGACCCCTTTGCTCTTTAAAGGGGAGCATCATACTGGTCCAGGAACTCCCGAATGGGTCCAGGCAGCTGGGTCACTTTCTCATAGGAGTCCAGGTGGCCGTTGACGGTCTTCCTGCAGAGGTGCTGGAGGGTGGCCACGCTGGAGGAGAGAGGTCGGCTCAGTACCAGCGGAATCTTCTCGCCCCCAGAATAGATGTAGTAAGCTCTCTTGGGGGTACTCCCGGGGAGCGCCTGGGCAGGTGGCTGCTCTGGCACCTCGGAGGAGGGTTCCGTGGGTGGCAAAGAGAAGGAGGGGGCGCCCGGGGGCGGCATGTAGTGGTGCACCAGCTTGAGCACACAGTCGAAACGGGGCACCGGCTGCGTGCTCCGGGGGTCACTCTGCAGCGAAAAGCTGCCCCCCTCGCACTGGATGCGTAGGTTCTTGGTCCCTGACTGGGTCTTGACGCTCAGCGTGAAGAAGTGGCGCTGGTCCGAGCTGTCGCGGATAAGGAAGGTGCCCGCGGGCTCGGCGCTGAGCAGCAGGTTCGCCTCGCCGCCGGTCACGGCGCTCCAGTAGAATCCGCTCTCCTGCAGCTTGCGCACGGCGTTCACCACCAGCTGGTACTCGCTCTTGGAGCTGAAGGTCTTGAGGCGCAGGCTGGTGTCCAGGGGGCGGCTCATCCCGGCGGCGGGAAACTTGCTGTGGGTGACCATGGCGCACGGAGCCAGCGTGGATCTGCGCGGCGGTGGCTGCAGCTGCTTCGCGGCCTCCGCACAGCGGCCGCTACCGCATCCCGGGGGGCTGCGGAGAGGAAAGCGCCCGGCGCGTGAGTACCCGGAACCCTCCAGTGTGTCCAGCCCTCCTCCAGCCTCCGCCGAGCGCCCGGGGCCCCCGGTTGCCCCGCGGAAGGCCGCGTCTCAGCCACCTCGCGGAGCTCTCCCGGCCTCAGTCCCCGCCGGCCAACCCCAGACAGTCCCTTCTCCAGCGCGCCCTGGGAGAAGAGAACACCCGAGACAAACTCGAGAGGGAAGTTGGGTCTCCAGGAGCACCGCCAGGATGGGGAGCGAGACAAGAGCCCCAGGGACGCTTAGGGCGCCGCTCAGTCCGGTGGCGAGGACGAAAAGGGGGGTGACAAACCCGAGATCTGTGGGAGAGGGGACTGGAGAAGCCCAAGGGCCCCAGTCCGAGTATTACGGGAACCCGGGATCTTCGGCTCTCATCCGCTCTGCCCCCTACCTCGTCCCCTCCCTACCGGGAATGACCCGGGAAGGGGAGGAGAAACCGGGAAAAGCTCCCGAGCTGGATCGGGGCCCCCACCCTTCCCCACACCGCGCCCCTCCTTCCTACCTAGTCCCGAAGCGAAGTCTCCGGCTTTGGGGCTGCGCCTCCTACGGCCCCCAAGGCGAGGCGGCGGCGGCGGCCAGCAGTGGCCCGCGCTGCGCCCAGATGTTGGCGGTCGAGCAGTCCACAAAGGGGCTCCCGGGGCGTGCGTTCCCTCCGGCTTCGCTGCCCCCGGGGCCGATCAGGCGCCCCCGGGATGGATCAGGCAAAGGACCCGGGCGAGGGGCCACGACAGAGAGCTGGGCCGGGCAGGGGGCGTCCGGGAGCCCGGCGAGGCAGTGGCGGGTGAGAGCAGGAGAGCCGGAGAGTGCGAGTTAGAGCCGCCGGCGAGGCCGCGCGCGCGGGTATTTACGCGGCCAGCACGCCCCGCCCCCCCGATTCCTGGAACTGCTGGGCCCGTCTTCTTGTAATGTTTAGTCACTACTCTGCACTGAAAGGCTGTGCGCGCAGGGCGAGGGAGGGGCCGCGGGCGGCCGAGGGCGGGCCTGGAGCTGGGGCCTCCAGGACCCGCCGACACTCACCGAGAGGGAGACAAAGCGCGGCGCGCGGCTGCCCGGCCGGCCGGCGGGCGCGGCGCCAGCGGTGGCCGAGCGTTCCTGGCAGCGGCCCCTCCCCCGCGCTCCGCCCCCAACTTCTCATTCACACTTTCCCCCCACCCTCCCTTCTAAGAAGGCTGGTTTCTGGCAGAGGCGGGGGCGCCGCGGCGGGAGCGCGAGGGCAGTTCTAGGAGGCCGGCCCGGAGGGGCTCCCGGCACCCCTTCTCTTTTTCTAGGACCCTGCGTGGGGACGCTCCCCTCGCTCCCACCCAGGCCACCCCAAGGTCCTCCTTTACAGTTCCAAGCAGCCCGTGCCTGCCAAAAAGGGAGGCAGGGCCGCTCCGCAGCCAGCACCCTGGGGACCTAGGAAGTGAAGGTGGGGGATGCGCAAGACGGTTACCTGGGGACAGGTCCCGGAGGCGGCGCTGGGAGATCCAGAAGTGCAGGAGACCCTGGCTTCGAGGCAGCGGCCGGGCCTCGGCTCACTGCCCCACTGCCCCGCTCTTTGGTGACAGACGTGGCTGCTGACGGCCTTTTCGGGGAGGATAGGCAGAGGAAGCCGCTAACTGCCACCCTATCACTCACTGGGTCCCCCAACCTGCTTGGTGAGCTGGGTTGGCCCAGGTGCGCTCGGCGCCGCGGGGGAGCTCGAGGGAGGAAAGCATGACCCCCACCCCGCCCCAGCTCGCGCCCCAGTCCGCTAGAGGGCGCACTGGAGTCTTGTAGGCGAGCAGAGTTTTGCTGTTTCCCAGGCCCTGGAGAAAGGAGGTGGTGGGACTTTCTTATTCGAGAACAGGAGTGGGCAACCTGGAAGCGAGGAGGTTCACCTTCCGGGCCAGGTTCAAACCCGGGAAGAAATGTCAAATAGGCGGGATGTCCACAGAGCAGTTGCCATGGGTTCAGCCCACTGGCAGGTGGGCCCTCCTCAGTGTTAGGGTGTCTGAACTTTTGCAGCGGGAGGTATTGATAACAGCAGGTGATTGAGGTGAAAGGTTGACTTGCCCCTGGTCACGTGAGTACTTAAAAGCCTCGTGGCAAGTTTTGCAACAGGCAGCAGGATGCTGGAGCCACCTGAGAACAGAGTGGCTGCACTCAGAGGGCTTTTGGTCCCGCCCTCTTAGGTACCACAGGCTTCGTGTTATACTAGTCAAATGGGGGACGTGCCGTGCCGACCACACATGGTAGCTTGGGCTTGAAGGGAGGGCTGCCTGCTTCCCTTCCTGTGGAATTGGTAGGTGCTGCAGTATCTTGGCCCACTGTGTCCGAAGTGCTCCCTGTTGCTGGGGAACGAATAGAGATTCGGGCAGGTGCACAGCCACTCTGGGCTCAGGCTTGTCATCTGTTAAATATGAGTGAGCATAGTGATGCACCCCGCAATGCCAGAGCTCGAGGCTTGGGGGCCTCATTTAAAGTATTTCATAGACCTTGTGCTGACAGACATGACAGACATTGTTCACACATGGAGCTATCTTGTGAGAGCCAGTTCCTGTTGTCAACATACTTGCCGGCTCCTGAAATGGAGTCTCTCTGTGTGAACAAGCCCTCCTTGGTCTCTTCCAGGCAGTGTTAAACGTAGCAGCCTCCTTGACCGTCCTGAGGGCAGTGCAGGGCAGGGAGGACTCTTAGGGAATAGCCCTGGAGTTAATGGATGGGAAAGTGCTTTGTAAATTGCAATGCCTGACGAAGTCGGGTTCATTCAACCGTTCCACAAACCCTCATTTTGTGCCTGATCCTGTCAGGCCTGGGGTGAAGTGATGGGATGATGGCCAGGCTCTGGGCAAATCCTGAAGCAGGAAAGAGGCCATGAGAAGGGACCCAGTGAGACACTGGGATGGTTCCTGAGGTGGGGCAGTAGGGAAAGAGACGCTGGGGGTCTGGCTTAGCCATTAAGAGCACCTGCTGCACTTCCAGAAGACCGGGTTGGTTCCCAGCATGGGGAGGATCACAACTGCTTGGCACTGCTGGAGCGTGAGAAGTCCAAGCCTGCCTGGAGTCCTAGCCTAGCCCAACAGGAGATGCTGTTAAAGTGAAACCTTCACTCTGCAGGGCCCACAGGGAACTCAGAGCAGATCCTGTAGAGATGTCTTGAGATGGATTTTAGGTGGCAGGGACTTTCAAATTGGCCCTTTGCACCGAGGAAGCTGAAATGAGACCCAGCAGCCAAAAACCCAGGACAAAGGAAATTCCTTACATGTATAGGCCCCTAAGATAATCGGCTCTGAGCTTAGACGAGAAGGGGCTCTAAGTTTATCGGCCTAGGGAAAATCCTGGATAGGGCCTCAGATCATAATATACGAAGCTAATCCTATCACCCACCCTACCTTTGGAATGCTATGTACTAGGGCTTTAGAAGCTTAGGGTATGTATTAAATAGGGTATACGGAAGGCCTGGTTGATCTCTACAAGGGCAGCCTCCAGGATCTTATGAGCAGTGGGTGAAACTCAAACTGATGGCTCCTGTCTGTAATCCCTACAACCAATAGATAGCAGCAGGAGGACCAGAAATTCAAGGGCATCCTAAGATATGTAGGTGGTTTGAGGCCAGTCTAATCTATGTGAGACCCTGTCTCAAACAAAATAAACAATTAAAAATACATCCCCAGGCCAGGTAATGGTGGTCCATACCTTTAATCCCAACACTAAGTTGGAGACCACCATGGTCTACAAGAGCTAGTTCCAGGACAGCCTCCAAAGCCACAGAGAAACCGGTCTCAAAACCCCACAAACAAACAAACAAACAAACCAACAAGAAGCATACCCCCAGGGGATGGAGAGATGGCTCAGTGGTTAAGAACACTGATTGCTCTTGGAGAGGATCCAGGTTCAATTCCCGGCACTCACATACCAGGTAACAAATGTCTCTAACTCCAATTCCAGGAGATCTGCTACGTTCTTTTGGCCTGTACAGCTACAAGGTATGCATGAGGCAAAATAAATGCACTCAGGCAAAATACCCACACATAGGGAGGCAGAGGTAGGTGGATCTCTGTGAGTTCGAGACCAGCCTGGTCTACAAGAGCTAGTTCCAGGACAGTCTCCAAAGACACAAAGAAACCCTGTCTCGAAAAACCAAAAATTACAAAAACAACAACAACAAAAAACTCTTCCAAGTCACCAGATGACAGAATGTCACTGACATGGGTGATGAAAAAAAGCTTTTATGCTTTCTATGGGATGCTCGTGGTCACAGATGTAGTAGCGGCTGATGTTCTGGGTGAAGGGAAGGGCTGTCTGGTTCGAATCCGTGGTGGGAACAACAGACAAGGCTATCCCCTGAAGCAGGTGTCTTGACCCAGGGCAGAGTGGGCCTGCTGTTGAGTCGATGCATTCTTGTTCTAGACGAGGGAGAACTAGAGACAGGATACACAAGTGTGTTAGGGATGTTCCAGTCTCTCTCTAAAGATGATGATGTCTGATAAATACATTGTTAGGAAGCCTTAAACAAGGTGAGAAGCCCAGGACCAAACCGCTCTTGGTTTGTTCATTGTCTTGTTACTCTAAGTGTCCTGCGACAGAAATACCAACATACGACTCTGAAGAAACAATACACCCAGAAGAACAAGGAGGAGGCTGTGCCACCAACGCCCAGCTTGTATTAGTTACTTTTAAAGACTCTCTTTTGAGTAGGGCGTTGGTAGCACACACCTTTAATCCCAGCACTCGAGAGGTAGAGGCAGAGGCAGGAGGATCTCTGTGAGTTCCAGGCCAGCCTGGTCTCCAGAGCGAGTGCCAGGACAGGCTCCAAAGCTACACAGAGAAAACTAAAAAAAAGAGTAACAAATACAGCCAGGCGTTGGTGTACATGTAGGCAAAACACCAATGCACATAAAATATAAAATGAAAATAAATAAATTTAAAACAAAAAGAGTAACAAATATATCACCATTACTGGAAAAGAAAAACCAAACCCGGAGCAAGGACATGACACGTTCTCAGTGGAATGGGATTCTTTCACTTTGTCCCAGTGTCTGTCCTCCTGCAGTTGCTGAAACTGTGTGCTGTGTGGGGCCCTGGCTGCCTGACCCTGAAGGTTGACATTGCCTGCCTGACTCCCTGGGGACAAAAGTACCTTCCCCAGGTTGCTTGATTGGTACTTTGTCTTTACAATTGGGCATCATCAGAGTGTTCTGACTACTTGCTCAGGGGTAATCTTGAGGGAAGATATTGTGTTTATTTTTGTTTTTTGTGTGTATTTTGAATTTTTGTTTGTTTGTTTTTGTTTTCTGTTTTTTTGAAACAGGGCTGTCCTCCCTGGGAGACTCTGCTTAGAAGTCTGAGTTCAGTCAAAAGTGGACTCACTTTTTTTTTTTTTTTTTTTTTTTTAAAAAGGGTTTTTCTTTTTTTTTTTTTTTTTTTTTTTGAAACAGGGTTTCTCTGTATTGCTTTGGAACCTGTCCTGGTACTTGCTATGTAGACCAGGCTGGCCTCGAACTCAGAGATCCTCCTGCCTCTACCTCCCAAATGCTGTAATTAAAGGCATGCACCATCACCACCCAGCATGAAATTTTTGTCGTTGTTTTAAAAGTATGAGTATGTGTGTGCATCTACTGTGGGTATTTGCACAGAGGCCAGAGGCACCTGGTCCCTGTGGATCAGGAGTTGAGAGGTCATGTGAGCAGCAATGACTTTTCATCACTGGGCCCTTGGTTCGTTTCCTTTGTGAACCTAGAGCCTGGTACATGGAAAGTCCTCAATGAGTCTAAGCTTGTGTGGATTTTCTGTTTTCTATGACTTGTCTTAGATGCCACAACCAGCATTCTTCCTAATTGTTGGTTTCTGGAGCGTTAGATGGTGTGGGTTCTGGGAAGCCCCGTGTCTGGTTTACTGGTGATTATTAGACTACTAATCTGGAGATAAACAGCCTGGAAAAGTGGGAGGAGACACTTGGTTAATTCAGGGCACGTTTCCAGGGACCCACTCTAAGACAAGGACTTGAACTGAGAGACGTCAGACCAAGGGCAAAGCTTAAATCCTGTCTGCATCCCCTCTTATCTGCTGGGTAGCTGGAGGGAAAAAGGCCCAGTT